TATCAAAAAAAAGTATTTCGTAAAAAGTAAATTGATCAAAATACCTCCGAAATACTATATGGGTATTTTGATCAATTTATATTTTACGAATTATTTTTTTAATATTTTTATTTGATGCACATTGATGAAAAGTATAGACACTTAAAATTTCACATGATTTAGATTTATAGAAAAAAAATTTAAAATTAAAATAAGAAATGAGGTCTTGTCCATCAGATAAACCCATATTGAATCTGAGCCGTTAGGCCAATATGCAGCTATAGGCTAGTAGGTCTATAGTAGCATTTCTCATATACATATGAGAAATGATTCTATAAGACCCTCCCCCACCCATATGCATAGGACCCCAAAGCATCACCATTAAATTTGGCACGGATCTATAAAAAAATTAAGTCTCACACCCATGTGATAACTTTTGTAGAGATCCGCGCCAACTTTAATGGTGATCATTTGGGGTCCTACATACATGTGTGGGAGAGGGTCCTATATGATCATTACTCTTTGAAGAAACATGCTAGAAATAATTATTTCAAATTTCATCTTTGATCTAAGGGTGGAGTTGGCATACGGATGCATATGTAGCTGTAGAGGTAAGGAGAACCTTCAAATTTTATCTTGGTATGTAATTGTGATGTAAAATGTTTTTAGGATTATCTCAAAATCTATATTTAAATCAAATTATAAAATTTTAAATTTCAAACATGGTTAAAATCAAGTAGATCTATAAACATATGAAAATCTTGAAAATGGATGGTATAGATAATATGTTGTAAAATGTACTACTTCTACTAAAAAAATTTATTTTTCATGGTCATACATCTCGATGTCAAGATGATCAATCGAAGGGTTTTTAACATTAAAACTACCTTTTTCTATGGATTTTTTAGGTGCATCCGTAGTTCTACATTATAAGGTTTGCATCCTTATATAAACTTTTTCTTTGATCTAATGATTCCATCCTCATATCACATTTTAACTTTTACTTTTTTTCAGTCTTTCATTTAGTAGGGCTGTGCTCCAAGCCTTAGAGGCAGTGCCAAGGCAGTCCAAGGTTAAAATCCTCATACTGCCCTCTAAATATGGCGAAACCCTAATAGAGTGGCATGAGGTGCCCATCCTTTGACCCCTATTTTTTAAAAAAAATAAGAATTAGAGAGCGATCCGACGATGGGAACATCAGACCACCCTAGAATTGAGTTATACTAAGTTCAGAGTGCAGTCCAAGGTCCCCATCCTCGGACTGTTGTTTTTTTAAAAAAAATAATAAATAAGGCATAGTCCAAGATTAGGGACCTCGAATTGCTATTTTTCTCAAACAATAAAAAAGAAAGAGTGGTCCGAAGATGGGGACCTCATAACAAAGGCATATCAGTGCAGCTCAATGTGCGGCAAAAAGAAAAAGGTCACGACTCACGACACACTTTACACATGCGGGCTCACAATTGATGCAACGAATTCATCCATAGCTCTAAGAGAAGAACCACCACCGCTCTCCTCCTCCGCCATCCCTTTCCTGAGTGCCTCTCTCATCTCACCGGCCTATCTCCTCATCTCCGACCCCTTCTCCCCTTTCACCACCGCCGCCACCACTCTCGCCACCTTCTCTCTCCACACCTCCACACAAACCCCAACTTTTTCATCCCCCAACATGGTGGAGTTCAAGAATTGCTCGGCCCCCATGGGCCATCCAATGAGAGGAACTCCTTGGCTTAGGCTCTCCAATACCGAGTTCCACCCGCAGTGGCTCAGGAGAGCACAGGTTGCCTTGTGCGAAAGGATCATCAGTTGCGGCGCCCACCCCGTGATGATCAGGCCGCGATCTTTCACCCCCTCCTCGAACCCCTCCGGAAGCCACTCTGATCTGAACTCAGCGGTTATGGGGAACTCCAAGGGCAGTCTGACCACCAAGATGAATCTTGCACCACTCGACTCCAGCCCCATTACCAGCTCCTTCAGGTTCCACCCGAAACTGCGTTCTGCGACCCAAATGAAACGTACAGGACCGAGTGAAGTGGCTGAGTATCGAGCCAGGCAATGCAGCTTTCGGCTGAGATCCCCAGTGGCTTGCCCCCGCGCTCCCTCGCCCCATTCTCGGAGAAGAGAGAGAGAGGCAAGAGGCGCCCAATTGGCCAGACTTCCGCCCGGTCATGGTTTACAGTAGCCTTAGACCATCCGGCTCGATCTCCGCCACTGTGTTGCATAGCATGCCGTCCCTCTTCGGATGCATGGAGAGGGATATTTGCCTCTGTAGAAAGATCGACCATCTATCTTTGCCATCCGCTGCTCTGAGTTGGCTCACGAGCTGGGTCCGGTGAAGCGTGGCGCCCGGCATACCTGAGACCGGGAACTCGTCGGCGTCAGTCCCCACATGGGGCAGGTGAAACCATGTGGATGTGAACCCCAACGTGCCGAAGGCCCCACCGGTATTGAATACAACGTGATGGATGCCGAGCCTCTCCGCCACCAACCCTGTCCAGCCATAGAAGCCTTCCGCGATGATGCAAAGCGGTAGGCGGCCATCATTGCGGGCATTATCGGAGACGAGGCGCTCTCAAAGGCGGGCTCGAGGGTCTCGCAAGCTTCAAAGAGGCGGATAATGAGATGGTAAGGGAGGGCGTCCGTGTTCTCGGCATCCAGGGGGAGGCCATGGTCGGCGCTTGAGAAGGGGAGCTCGGCGACGTCGACGGCACCGGCGGCCTTGGGATTGAGCATGGAGCGCAGCTTGGAGGCGTTGTGGGGGGGTGTTGACGAGCGTGATTTTGGGGGGGCTACGCTCGGAGAGGAGCTCAGCAATGGCGGCAAATGGAATGAGGTGCCCCCTGCGCCATGAATGGCATCATCACCACGTGCTTCCGCTCATCCACCACCATCTTCTTCCGCTTTCTCTCTCCTAAACGTAGAGAGAGAAGCCAAGGGAGTGTTGGTGTAGAGAGAGTGAGGCAGGAACTCCATGTATATCCACATTCCAGACAGCCGGGGGCCGCAGACTGGCGGAAAGAGAGACGAACCGGTTGGAATGTCCGTCAACGTGGACAATAGATGACCGTTGATTACATGTCTTGTCGGGATGTGTGGTCCCACCTCTTGCATTACTGTGGTTGCGCCAAGAGTACGTGGTCCGGCGCGAGCGTATCGTCCATTCAACTGCGACATCCGTGTAGGATTTTTCCGTGAAGAAAATCGCATGGGCACTCGAGTGTGTTTAAAAACGTAGAAGTTCTAATATGAATGGGACCGTGCAATTTTTTTAAGGAAAAAGCTTATTTAGGATTGCAACCTTATCCTGCAGAAGGAAGGTGCACCTCAAAAAACCTAGTAGAAAATACTCTTTTGGAAGTTAAGGAAAGTTTTGTTGACCTCTCTATTTTCAAGATTTCCAAATGTTTATAGACTTACTTCAGTTCTTGATGATGGATTTTTAAGCCATGGTTTCCAACAATAGAATTATATCTTTCGACAAAGTTACAGTGCCTCTTACTTGTACAATATAACATGGGGACCCTATGCAAACCTCATCTATTTTTTGAAAAGTAATGATCCCATAGGACCTTCCTCCACCTATGTGTGTAGGACTCCAAATGATTACCATTAAATTTGACATGGATCACTAAAAAAATTATCATATAGGTGTGAGACTTGATTTTCTAAAGATTTGTATCAACTTTAATGGTGATCTTTTGAAGGTCCTATACACATAGATAGGAGAAGGTCCTATAAGATTATTTCTCTTTTTTTGAAAGCTCATAAGAATTGAGAATTATATCAATTTCTTTTTCTTTTTTTTTCCTTTGTGAAAATATTCGCACCACGACTCTAATGGGGTTCTAGAGGACCGACAAAAAGATGAGAGTTGATGAGGATGACTTAGTGATTAATCATTTTTTGAATGTGGCTTGGGGACTAATCATCTTTTAGATCACTCAATGCCTATTTGTGTTTTGTCAAAATATTGGACTCCTACAAGAGTAGAATGTTAATTTTCTCTCCAAGTAAAATCCCACCTAGAATTAATTTATAACCTCAACATTTTGGGGATGTGAAGTCTTCAACCTAACCGATCTCAAATAGTTTGGACAAGGCTAGGATGATGATGATTAATCTCTTCGATCCATTGATTAACCTCAATAAATTAAAAAAAAAAATCTGAATTATACCTCCTATTCACTTGAAAAAAATAATGTCACGATATTGAATGGAGATCATTCAATTTTTAGAGTGTTAGAGAGATCAAATTTTAAGATTTTTTTTAAAAAAAATAATCTGCATATGCGCTCTGTGTGTTATTTGGTTCAGTTGGAGTGTACGGTGGAGGTTAAGGCTCATTTATGTGTCAATCTCTTTTGGTACTAACCAGTGTTTTAAAAATCGGCGAGTCACCCGGTTCGACTCGGGAACCGGCACAGGCCGTGCCGGTTTCAGCAGAAAATCGGGAACCGCCCGATTTTAGAACAGAACCGCCGGTTCCTACCTGATGGCGGGTGTGCTCACCTCACGTTTGCCTCCCACACGTTGCTCACCTCACGTTTGCCTCCCACACGTTGCTCGCCTCACGTTTGCCTCCCAGACGTTTCTACACACACAATAAAATATCTATTACACATGACTTTATAGAGATCCAAGCAACACTCATCCTTCAATGTGGGATAATTCCCACAAAAAATCATTAAAGCAAGATGATTGAATATATATTATTATAGATGATAATAAAATCACATGTGGTGACGTGGCCATGTTGGTTGACAACATTGATTTTTGAGTGTATAACTTGAGTTCGAACTCCACAATGAACATCAAAAGATATTTTGAGTTTGAACCCCTTATTGCACAACAAATTTTTTATTTTTTTGAGTTCGAACCCCTTAGTCCACAACCAAAAAATACAAAAAAAATTTTGTTGTCAAAAATGATAAACAAAGGCAAATACTGTTGTAAAAAACTAGAAAAAATATAAAATAAAAGGTTTTTCAAGATAAAGATAAAAAAAAATAATACAACATTTTTTTATTTTTCTGGTAAAAAAAATACAATTTGTTATCAAAAAAATAAACAAAGGCAGAAAATACTATTGAAAAAAAATAGAAAAAATATAAAATAAAAGGCTTTTCAAGATAAAGATAAAAAAGATAATACAATATTTTTTAATTTTTCTTGTAAAAAAAATACAAGGTAATATAACAAGTATTTCTTGCAAAAAAAATAAAACAAAAGGCATAAAAAAATAAAATGTACTTTGGCAGCATCATTTTTTATTTTTCTTGTAAAAAAAAATAAAAAGTAATACAACAAACAAGAAAAAAATGTAGTACAACATCTTATTCTTTTGTCAAAAAAAAAAACAAAGATAATCAACAAGTATCATATTTTTCTTGTAAAAAAAAATAAAAGAGGACACAATAAGTATTTTTTGTCAAAAAAATAAAAGGTATTTTTTAATACAACCTAAGAATAAATGGTCTAATTATATTTTTTTATTTTTATAACATGATGGTCTTTAACATAAAATTAGTAATATTAATTTAAAGATATGATCCATACAATGAGGCCATTTGAAATCTCTCTTTCTGCTAACAATCTTTTCTACTAATTTATTCTAGAAACCTAAAAAATTAAAGAAAATTGGTACGCATTCTAATAATTTATAAATTGATAACCAAATATTTTATTTTATTTATTAATTTTTGTATTATAAATCATGTTGTGTACTATTTTTCTTACAG